GACATCTTAACATACCCGTTTCAGCTTCCGGTTGGTTGAGAGCTTTCCCCATGAATTCCTTTAGACCACTTTCAAATTCTGGCGTAAGCAATCTCGTGTTCGGATCCATATGAGGTCGATCGATCCACGAGCGATGATAATTATAAGAAGACATGTTTTTTCAATCAGATTCGTGTGTGCAAAATAGAAAGAGAGAGGATGAAGATATGGAGTGAATGAAGAGGATGAGGGGTGCTTGTATTTATAGATACCATCTGCCGACAATTCCCACGAAATTCCGAGGAAATTCCGAGGGAATAGCCGTTGGCGTCGGAAATTCCTCGGAATTTTTGAAATACCACAACGGCTATCTAACGGCTATAATTTCTCATCGGATTTTCCTGGGTTTATTTCGAGGGACATTGCGTCCTCGGAATGTCATCGGAAAAATCCGAGGATAATTGTGTTCCTCGGAATTTCCTAGGTAAATTCCGAGGGAATTCCGAGGAAACACATAAATCGTGTTTCCTCGGAATTCCCTCGGAAAATCATCGGAATATTCCGAGGAAACAACGTTCCCTCGGAAATTCCCTCAGTATCGCTCTGTTTTCTAGTAGTGTTTACCTCCACAAGTTTTTGGAAATTTCACCATGATTATGACAAATGGGTCGGAACTTAAAACTTATCTTGCTTTGTACAGTTATGATTGTTTAAATTTCAGTTAGAATCAGGTTTAGAAAGGGGATACCAAACTGAAATTGGTATTGGTTTGGTCTGTAAATTCGGTTATTTTAGTTCAGATTTGTTTGGTTACCGCCTTTTATTAAAAAACATCAAATGAAATCCGAGCCAAAATTCACTTGAGGCAACAATAAAATTGAGAATCTTCTTCAGTGGAAGGAAAGTCACACAATCCTTCAAACCAAGAATGTGTCTATATATGAATAGTTCTTAGGATTGAGGAACAATTAAGTTTCTTGCTTAAAACCATGTCATCAGTAGTGAACTCCGCTTCTTTCCTGAAAGTTCCACGACCAAAATCAAGGTTGTATGAGTCAGTGAGACCCTCCACCAAGTCAAACTCTGGTTTCCATCCAAGAACATGCTTTGCTTTCTCCATTAAATTCAGAGAGATAAGAAGCAAGGATAGAGAGAAACAAGGCTGGCTCTGTTGCAACATCATCATCTTGGCCATGTTTGCTAGTTCACTCTCTGACCAAACGCTGAAGAGTCTTTTTTGAGTGTCTGTAAATGGTATCATCTTGTTCCTTTCGACCATCAAGTCTTTAATTTTTATATGATAAGAAAAATTTATCTCAAGCCTCTCAGCCATTTCATGGTATCTTGTCCTCTTCTTTCATAAAACACACTCATTGTTAGGCTTCCTTGTGGATGATTCTGACCGCAACGTAAGTTTTCATGGTCAAATCGTAACTAAACTTTTTTTGTTAGGCCTAATGGGCCTTACGGACATAAACTTGGGCCTATGGGCTGAATTATAATTTTTAAAAACAGTTATTACAAAAAGAGAGAGAGAGAGAGAGAAACATCACGTATTGTCCAAGATCTGTCGGAAGGAAGATCGGTATTGTCCAAATCGAAAAGAAAAAAAAAGTGTTTTGTCTTTCTGCTGATCAGCTTCGGATCAATAATCCGAAAGATGGATCCGAACCAGGTGAATTTCAGATTCTTGATTTAGCCTCGATTATTGGTTCGATCTTGAACGTTAATGTGTTAGATTAGTGGTTAGATCTGTGTCTTTCGTAGTTTTCAGGCTTTATGGTTAAAGTTGATTTCTTTCAATGCAGGCACCAGTTGAGAACTATGCAAACCCAAAGACATGTCTCTTCCATGTTCTCTTCAAGGTATGAGCCAGTGTGTAACAAAAAAAAAATGTTATAGACGTTTTGTATAAATGTGTTCAATTGTAACAAGTTTTTTTTTTTTTTTTTGTGTGGACAGGGTGCTGCGTTGGCGTTTTATATTCTCTCTGCTCTATTCTTCAACAGCTTTGTGATAATCTTTGTAGTGACTGTTCTTCTTGCTGCGCTTGACTTCTGGGTGGTTAAGAATGTGAGTGGGCGTATACTTGTTGGTCTCAGGTGGTGGAATGAGATCGATGACTTGGGTGAAAGTGTGTGGAAGTTTGAGTCTCTTGACCAGGAGGTTAGTCCTCTCTCTTTGTTGGTTCTATCTACTTTGTTCAATCGGCGATTAAGGTTAATTCGTTTGTGTCTAATATCAGTCCTTGGCTCGGATGAACAAGAAAGACTCATGGCTTTTCTGGTGGACGCTTTACCTTGCAGTGAGTAGCTCCTAATCTAAAGACTGCTGTTGCAGCTTCTGCTTTGCATTTATAATCTGTCCTGAAACTTTAGTTGAGGAGTAGGAACAAACATGAACCCTTATGGTGAAGCATATGATTTTTTAGAGCTGAATCTTTTTTTTTGTTTCTCCTATCTTCAGGCAGCTGCATGGTTCATCCTTGGTGTATTTTCACTGATAAGGTTTCAGGCAGACTATTTACTTGTTGTTGGCGTTTGCTTGTCCCTCAACGTGGCTAATATCATCGGCTTCACAAAGTGCAAGAAAGGTTAGATCCTTATTTTATTTTATTTTCACTTCTTTCCCTGATATTGATAAGAATCAAATCAGCTACTTGATAATTCTCTACACCCCTATGTGTTGGCAGATGCAAAGAAACAACTTCAACAGTTTGCTTCACAGACAATCGCATCACGGTTCCAATCCACTGTACAATCTGCCTTCACCCTTGTCTGAAAAAAAGAAAGAAAGAAAGGTTTTTTGACTGAGGTGTATTGTATTTTTTGTCTGTTACATGTATCTTTACATTTTTCTGACATACTATATTTAGCATTTTTGCGTATGTCCTATGGTCGTATGCGTTATGTTTAGCACCAAAAGAAGTTTCAATACGTAACATCTCTCGATGGTATGATGCAACCTTCATTTTTAAGATTTTCTTTTCAAGTATGGAATTGATGTAGACGATAGATAGACTTATGGAGAAGAGAGAAACATGATTAATTTTGACCAACATGATCTTACTTAAACACATACTTTTTCATATTAATAGGGTTTTCTTCTTCTTCTTCTTCTTCTTCTTCGTCTTCATGTTTCATACAAATATTAATAAAACACATTAATTTTTAAAGAAAATAATCTAAAACTACACATTAATTTTCGATCATCGGTTAATCTAGATGATCGAAAATTACCAACCGACCTCCTATAACCTCTTTTTTAGTTGTTATCTTAACGAACGGGCCCATAATTATGAAATGTATTTAAAAAGTGGGCTTGGGCAACAACTTCTCATAAGCCCATGATCACAAATCTTATCTTACGACAACAACAGATGTAACTTTCTGTCTTGTTTTTTTGATTACTCGTCTCATCGTCACTGTAAGAGCTTCAAAAACATTAGACTTTACTTGATTCCCAAAATCAAACAAACCCTAAAAAAAAAAAAAAGAAAAGCTAACTCCTTTGATCTTTTCCTTCCTTACACAGACCTCATCCTTCCCTTCTTCCCGCCAAATTCCTTTCAAAAACCAATGTCTTCACGGCGTCGCGTGATCTCATCTTCATCGAACAAGAAGAGGAAGAAAGCTCCCGAGATTCATCTCCCTCCGTTCCTAAAACCCGGCGCCGCCGTGGAGATCAGCTCCGACGAGTCCGGTTTCCGCGGATCTTGGTACCTTGGGAAACTCGTCACCACCGTCCCATCCGACTCCTCCACCACCACGAGATGCGAGGTTGAGTACACGACGCTCTTCTTCGACAAAGAAGGGAGGAAACGGCTCAAGGAGGTTGTCGACGTGGCGCAGCTTCGTCCTCCCGTGCCGGAAGTGGCTGAGAGGGAGAAGAGGAGGGATGTTAAGGTTGGGGAAGAGGTGGACGCGTTTTACAGTGATGGTTGGTGGGAAGGGACGGTGACGGAGGTTTTGGGTGATGGGAGGTTTAGTGTTTACTTTAGGGCTTCCAAGGAGCAGATTCGGTTTCGGAGAGATGAGTTACGGTTTCATAGGGAGTGGGTTAATGGTGTGTGGAAGCCGCCGGTTGAGGAAATGGAAGAGGAGGAGGAGGAGGAAGAGGAGGAAGATGATACAGAAGAGGAAGAGGTAAGGAAGTCAAGTTTTTACTGTCTTTGTTATGTGTGGAACTAGGTTCTGTGGTAAAGACATAAAATTTTAGCTGTCTTTTTTTTTTTTTTTTTTGTGTTTTGACTTGTGTGCATTGCAAATGTACACTGGTAAAGAAAAAAAGACAATTTTACCTGTTGTTGTTTTTGTGTTCTGACTTGTGTTCATTGCCAATGACATCTATTGTGGTAAAACAGACAATTTTACCTGTGTCTTTGTTTTATGTTGTGACTACACTATCTAGTATCTATTTTGGAAATACAAACAATTTTAGCTGTCCTTGTTTTGTGTTCTGATTGCGTGCATTTGCAGGGACGCTAGCTATTGAGTAAAAACAGACTATTTCACCTGTCTTTGTTTTGTGTTATGACGGGAGCTATTGTGGAAAGATTAGTTCTTGAAAACCTTTTTTTATGTGGAAATAGTTGAGAGCATTGTCTTTACTTCTCATAGAGCATTTTGTATCTCTATACCTGCAATTCCTCGCACTATACTAATCGTGACTGCTATAACATTTGCAGGATCTTTTATCCCTAGTGGATCCGGAAAGTGCAAGAGAAATCGCGAAACAAATGTTTTCCAATGGAACAATTGTTGAGGTTAGCAGCGATGAGGAAGGTTTCAAGGGGTCTTGGTTTGCAGCTAAAGTCGTTGAACACATTGACGAAGACAAGTACCTTGTTGAGTACCGAGACTTGAGAGAAGAAAATGGCATCGAGCCTTTGAAAGAAGAAGCCGACTTTCTGCACATAAGGCCACCACCACCAAGTGAGGAGGATATTATAGATTTCGCTGTTGGGGACAAGATTGATGCGTTTTACAATGACGCCTGGTGGGTAGGTGATGTCATAGAGAGTATGAAGGATGGAAGCGTTGGTATCCATTTCAGATCAGGAGAAAAGATGCGGTTTGGAAGACAGGGTCTTCGTCTGCATAAAGACTGGATCAACGGGACTTGGCAGCTACCAGTGAAGCGAGGAGAGACGAAGAGGGCAGCAACAAAGGTTCCGTTGAGACCTAAAAAAGCAAAAGCAATCGACAAGGAAAATCTCAGCGTTGGGAATCAAGTCGAGGTTAGCAGTGTTGAAGAAGGGTTTGAAGATTCTTGGTTTCTTGCAAAGCTTATTGAATACATTGGAACGGACAAATGCCTTGTGGAGTATGAGAAGTTGAAAGCTGAAGATGGGAAAGAGCCATTGAGAGAAGAGGTTAATGTTTATCAGATAAGGCCTAGACCACCGGAGATGGTCATGGTTCACCCGTTCGAGAAGCTTGACGAAGTTGATGCATTGTATAATGATGGATGGTGGGTCGGAGTGGTTAAAAAGGTTCTTGCAGAGTCAAGCTACTTAGTTCATTTCCCGAATACAAACGAGGTGCTGAAGTTTCATGTTTCTCAACTAAGGCTACATCAGGAATGGATTGATGGCAAATGGGTAGCATCTTCTAAGGTAAGATTTTATCAACTCATTTGATCTCATATATTAATTTCGATACTAGTTTTTACTTATGAGGTTTGCTCTCATTAACTTTGATTTTTTCAGACTCAAACGGTGTAATTGACTTGGGATGATGTTGGTGTCAACCACAGCAGTGATCTTGGTTCCATAAGAGACAAGCTTATCTATCTCTTCGAACTTGTGGATGATGCTCTGTTTCTGCTTCAGCCACACAACACCTGACTCTCTGTGTCATGCCCAGCCTCTTCTCTGTCCTTCAATGGTAGTAAGCCACTGGGCATTTAGATATTTCCTTGTACAAAACTTTGGCCTCTTGGCATATTTTCTGCAGTGTACTTCTCTGCCTTAGCTCTGACCTCCTTTGTAACCCAAACCCATCTCTATTTCTTTTGTTTTATTGTGTGGGGAGGGGGGGTCTCAGTGAAACCTGTTGTGTCTTCTTAAGTGACAACCATGTATGTTGCTAATATATATATATATATTGGTTTGGTGGTCTGAGATTGCCACGGGGTTTAGAAACTGAAACTATTTGGTCTTTTTTTTTTTTTGATCATTGCAGTACTTACCAGGTATGAAATCTAGATATATCTCTGCTCATTATTGCAGTTCTTGCAGGTATTAAAACTTAAAATACTCTTGAGTTGGGATAGATTTTTATGTGTTAGGAACTTGAATCTGGTTCTTCTCCCATTCTGATGTGGAACCTAACTCAACTTAAATTTTTTCGAAAACTTTATCACTCATTTATAAAAGCCATGAATCGATCTAGTTACTAGTACGCAGAAAAAGATGGGTCATAAGGACTTTTTTACCCACATTCTGGTTCTTCAACCATTCTGATGTGGAACCTAACTCAACTTAAATTTTTTCGAAAACTTGATCACTCATTTATAAAAGCTATGAATCGATCTAGTTACCAGTAAGCAGAAAAAGATGGGTCATAAGGACTTTTTTTGCCCACATTATCAATGTCATCCATATGGAACATGAGTGGGCTTTCATAGGCAAGGGTAGTTGATTAAAGATTTTGCATAGGCTGGAGACTTGGTGTATTTTGCGTACTTAAGCATGTGTGTGTGGCAATGGACAAGAAAACAAAAAACAAACAAACAAACCAAGAAAAAAAAACTGGGAGGCAGAAGAAGCTTGCTGTTAGTGATGTCGATTGTCGTGGATGTAAACCGAGTATCAGAAATCAATGAGAGTTCAAGTAGGAGAACTCGAGATGAAAGTATCTTTGAGAAATTGAAGAAGGTGGCTCAAGATGGAGACATTGAAGAATTGTATAAACTGATAGCCGAGGAGCCAAACATTCTAGGCCACTTTGACGAAATGCCTTTCTGTGAGACGCCACTAGCTGAAAACGGGAAAACCCATTTTGCGATGGAACTAGTGAGTCTTAAGCCGTCACTGGCACTGAAGCTAAACGTGTCAGGCTTCAGCCCAATCCATTTAGCCTTGCAAAACAACCACGCAAGAATGATGACAGGGTTTATAGCAATGGACAGCAGCTTGGTCAGAATCAAGGGGAGAGGAAGGATTACCCCTTTGCACCACGTGGCTCGAATAGGTGACGCAGAATTGCTTAGTGAGATTTTGATGGCTTGTCCCTCTTCGATAGAAGATTTGACAATAAAGCGTGAAACAGCTGTGCATATTGCTGTGAAGAACCACCAGTTTATGGCATTCAAGGTTTTGTTGGGATGGATCAAGAGAGCAAACGGGGTGGAAATCTTGGATTGGAAGGATGAAGATGGTAGGTAACACAGTCTTCCATATTGCTGCAGCTATCAATCAGACTGAGGTAAAAAAAAAATGTCTCTCTTATTTTAAACTTTTTTCCCCTTAATTATATTTATTTATGTCCCATATTTTAAATTTTGAATACATATTTTAAAATATATATATATATATATAATAAAAATTTAGAATGTTTTCTTTTTAATTGTGATTTTGTATAAAATCTATATTATTATCTGCGAAGTGATTTTTCGCAACGGAGCTCTCACGTTAAGTTAGACTACTGGCTAATATCGTTTATACCGTTAATGAATAATTAAAAATTTCAATATATAATTAAGCATAAGTAAAAAATGAATTTTAATAATCTTGAAAAATAATTATATATGTTAATATATAATTAATTATATATTAAAAACGAATTTCATTTATTTGATAATTATCCTTATTTAAAAAAATTTAGATTATGTTATAAAGTCTTTATCAACCTTGAAAAATAATTATATTTGTTAATATATAATTAATTCTAAATTATAAACGAATTTCACTAATTTTATAATTATCCTATCTAACTTTTTATATTGTGTTATAAAGTCTTTATTAACCTTGAAAATAATTATATTTATTAATATATATTTAATTATGAAAAAATCAATTCGCAAAGAATTTATGTATAGATAACTTATATTGTGTTATCCAAAACATTATTAAAGATAATTTATTATACTTTTTTTTGTTATGTCTAAAAAATGATACTAATTTATTACTATTTTTAAAAAAATTTATGAGTATTTTCATATTTAATTTGTGTAATTATAATTATTTATATGATGATGAAATATTTTATATAGAGAGAATTTGTTTAGATTATTATTAAATATTAAGAGTGTATGAACAATAATTTATTATAATTTATTTAAAATGATTATATATTTATTTATATTAGTAAAGTTATTAAGCCCGCAAGTGCGGGTAAAACACATAGTTATAAATATTTTGGATGTGAGATTCTATGTACATCCTGCTGTATTTTTGTTAGGTCATGAAGTTGCTGGGTAAAAGTGTTAAAGTAGCAGCCAAGAATTTGGATGGCAAAACGGCGATGGACATTTTCGAAGCTCATCAGCCTCTTTGTTTCCCTGAAGCAAGAACAATTCTCCGTAGTGTCAAAGAAAGGCTATTTAGTTGTTCCACCACAACAACTCTTGCAGAATATTTGAGCAAAGATCTAACGTTTCTCGAGAAACGGAACAATTTCTTAGGGCTGGGAAATTTGAGCATATCTGGAGCCATACCTCTAACCGGTAGCTATCGCCGTGACGCAATATGTGTGGTGGCTATACTTATAGTAGCAACTGCATTCCAGGCTGGTTTTAGTCCTCCAGGCGGATTTTGGCAGGAGGACGGCATGGATCATCTTGGCGTCTATCACCAAGCTGGGCAAATGACTATGTCGTTCTACAATGCCTTAATTTTTAATGGCTTCAACGGGTTTGCCTTCTTATCATCCCTATACGTGATCATGATCCTCACAATTGGACTTCCCAAGTGGAAGTTAATCTGTTGTTCAACGGCGTTTTTAGGTCTCGCTTTGTTAGCATCGTACGGCACTATATTCCCGTATCCTGAAGGCAGCTATATAGGGTATATCCCATTGATCGGCTTCGTCTACGTATTCCCATTGATTATCACAATCATGCTGTTTAGTGTTCTCATGGTATTCATTGTTGACAAACGTGGCCGGCTACGAGTGGACTTCCCGGCGAGCTGCTTCAGCTCATCTCATGAGTTGTCGCTATGATCATTAGAGTACGTTGAAAACATGATACCATGCATGCATGCACGCACGAGGAATATTACAAATGTTTCGATGTGGGAATATGATGTGTCGAGTCAAAGAAGAGTTTGAAAGTTCTGTTTATATGGATCCTTTAATTGTATGGAGAGACTGCAATGGGACACTTGTAACTGAAATAAAACTCTTATGTGGTTTTCAAGCTAGCTATTGTTATGAATTTAAATTGTCAACTAGTTCGTTCTAAATAACTAGTTTCTCAGCTGAAATTAAACGCTGTTTATTTCATACTCGTTCGTTCAATTCATTTTGCTGTTGCTCAATTCATTTTGTTTTCCCCTTAATAATGTGTTGCTTGCTGAGTATTGTTTTGATTCTAGAATATTAATTAACATATTTTAGAGAACGTACACAAAAGTGACAGATAGACTAGAGGATAGTTTTCAAGGTTGAGTATTGAAAACATGTACAAATTACAATGCCATTACTCAGAGAAAGTGTGGAAGGGTCTAACACAGAATTTGCTCTCTACATATATAGTATACGAATCAATGAAATCGTTTTTTTTTTTTTTTTTTTAAATTGTATTATGCAACTCCTTCTGGAACAGACTCGGGACATAACTCAGTTATTCAAAATGAGATACGTAACGCTATCTCACGTAACAATGTATGTCATATGGTGAAAAAGCAATCAGCCCAAACATGGCGAATCGTCAGGCCACTACAAAGGTATTGATAGCAGACAATTAGATTAGCGCTATGTTATTATTACTATAGCATTTTCATAATTGTTATTAAAAGCTACGCTATAATAGAGTGGTAGTATATAATAGCATTTTTACCAGACGCTATAATTGGTAAGCATATATACTGTATAATAGTAGATTTAGTTTGCTATAAATAATTCATTTGTAGCTATTTTTTGTTGCTATGATTCATTTTTTAGTAGTTCATTATTAATGTCATTTGATTATGTTTAGTAGCATTGGGGTTGAGCTGGATATATCTGAGTTGTAGTTTCTATTATGTTCTGTCAATGAGTGTTCTATAACTTCATCAATTTATATAATCTGTTGCAACTACAAAATAGAAATTTGTAATGAAGCTGAAATTGTATTTCATAATAGAAAATATCGTATCACACTCAACATTCTAGTCGTAATTCCAAGGGACATTCAATTCAAAATTACACATATCAAACAAAGAACACAAGTCTCATTTGTAAAGCAAAAGAAGTAGATGATAAGCTCTTACTCCACATCAAATGATAGACAACTTTGTTTTCAGGCCATGCTATAGTGATACCTATAACATCCTCCATAAACTCAATTGCAGAAGTAGATCTCCAAAGTTTTGGTATCATTTACCTTCGCTACATTAATCCAATACACGTACTGTATTATTATCCAATAGAACAAAATGTACTAACTGGTCTGGGTTGTTTGAAGATCAACGCCCTTCTACAACAACCCTTGTCCACAAATAATGTTCAGCCGTCTGTACTTTTGTTAAAATCACAAAATATATTTTTTTCTGTTGAAACTCAAAATCAATTTTTCCTCTAAAACCCCAAAATCAATTTGTTTATGAAAAAAAAACTAAAATTAGATTTCTCAAACAAAACTAAAATTTAAAATTTAGTTGTTCCGTCAAACTGAAAAATCAGACTTTTCTTGCTGACAATCCAGAAATTATCTACGTGTGCTTTTTATCAGTACAATTGTTTTAATCGTCTTTAGTAAGCCACGTAAGCACATTATGCGACCTCTAACAGAGTTGTTATGGCTATTGGCTGCTACTATTAGGGGTGGACACGGATCGGATATCCAGGTTTTTCAAGGTATTTGTGATTTGCTTCGAATGTTACGAATATCTAATTTTTGTATTTACTTTGCTTCAAAAAAATACGGATATCCGAAAAATGAATATCTAGAAAATAAAGAGATATTTGTATATATTTACGAATATCTCATTCATTTTGATCAATGCAAATAATCTTAAAATTTTGATACAAATTTGCTTTGCGAAAATATTTTTTGCATTATATATAAAATAAAAATAAAAAGAACAAGTGAACTTACATATTTTGTCATTTTTAAGTTTAAGTTACAATTATAATAACACAAAATTTAAGGAAAAATATAATTGTCATAATTGTTTTCTCTCTTTTTATGTAATACTTTTATATAAGTAATAATGTGAATAGAATTGTTCAAAATCATGTGCTAGAATAATAATTATATAATTTTATACATTTAAAATATTAAATATAATCAAGATATACATATATTTATATATTTCCGGATCGGATCGGATATCTGCTTCCCAAAATTTTAATATTTGTGTTTTGCTTCGATTTTAATGGATACTGATTTTTAGTATTTGCTTTGATTCGAAACTTTACGAATATTCGGAATTTTTGGATCGAATTGAAACGAATAACGAATCGAATCAAATTTAACTGATAAAATGTCCAGCCATAGCTACTATGGGCATTAGGTAAAATTATAATTGTGAATTCAAGATGAAATAGAAAGGAGGATCAGATCATATTTATAATTTGGATCGTTTCTGGTTGTGGGTCTAATTTATTTTCAAAAACTGATTTGGGTCCAGAAATGATTTTAAATAGTTGTTAACATATTGTAATTTTTTTTGTATAAACCCATGCATTAAGAAGAATTATTGTAGTTTTGACACATTTCGAGAAAAAAAAAAGAGACACATTTCTGAGTATGAGTTTTGCTACACTATCCAATACTCTTATGGAGATACCAAACATTTTTCTATTTTTTGGTTCATTGTAAAGTTACATATAATATGATACTTACGTGTTTCTATGGATAAAAAATATTTGGTACTTGGATTATTTTCCTGGACCCGGTTAGGCAGTGCTCCACTTCATCTGGGAAAGTTTTATCTGGTCTGGGGACAAGGCCCAACACTCAGTACCGCATCTGGTGACAAGAATGGACAGTTGCACTCCGCCTGACGTCGAATCCGTGAGCATGATAATTGGCTCACATGATCCTTACCAAATGAGCTATCTCATCTCATCTCGTCTTGTTCAAAATATTTTTGAACAGTATTTTAGTACTGTTTTTTAACAGTATTAAAATAATACCCTTGCAAAAGATTTGCTAGATACTAGACTTATAGCATTGTTGATGTCAAAAAAAAAACATTTAAAATAGCATTGCTGATGTCTTCTACGGTTCTTCTAAGCTAAATTTGTAAAGTTGCTTTTTTAATTGATCAACCATACTTTTCGACGCAAAATCCCCTCCTTGCCAGAAGATTAGTTGGTCTATATTTTGGCTAATGAAAGAAATAAAAGCTTAGATATGTAATCAAAGACTGTTAAAGGAATTATAAAACTGCATGTTGATGCCTTTACTCCGAAAAATGAATTTTTTTATAATATTTATGTTGATTATTGCTATGCTTCTAGGGGTGAGTGAAGCAATTTTTAAGTGCCCGAAGAACCAAGTAATTATTCGAAATGAACTTGGTCCTGGAAGAAGTCTAGAATATCATTGTCATGCTAATGGAAAAGATGAAGGCGTCCATTTTTTAAAATTCAATGAACAAAGGAATTTTGAATTCGTCGATTCTGGATTTGGAAAAAAGAGAAAAGTGAATTGTGTTTTGAGGCAAGGGTTGTGGATGGAGAATTCTTCTCGAGACTTTGAAGCATACCATACATCTCGTAAACATCCTTGTCAACAGGTTCGTGAATGGTTTGCAAGAAATGATGGAATTTACTTTCAAAGAAACAGAATCAAACCAGCAGCGTTTGTGTTTCCTTGGATTAAAAAACCTAAACAATCTAATTGATGTTTATGATTAAGACACTTACAAAGTTAAATATTTCTTTTTCGATTTTATTGTTGTTTTTCTTGTAATTTTTTTATGATTCTGCTTTAGTGTCTATTGTTAAGAAAATAAATATTGTATCTATGTATATTTTGTTTTTGTTTGTAATCTATCTATAATTAATATGCTTTAAATAATACATTTGTATGAAAAAAAATCTGGTTTATGGACAAACTATGTTCTTGGTATCTTCACGGAGAACCATTGCCCGTGACTCTTACACCATCGTCAACGGTTCTTGGTACTTATTCGACTTTGCTTTCGGAATGTAATTCAACACCTTCATTATCTTCTTGTGTACAAGAATGAATCAAACTCTAAGAATCATCCACCAGCTCTCACTTCAACACTGCTGGCGTTAGTGGCGTGTTCTTCCATCTCCTTCAACTCTGAGAAATTTTTTTTCTTTTTGAACACACATCTTCAGTGCTTACTCTCCCTCTACGTCCAACTCCAACACCTTCACTTTCTGTCTGATCACTACGACCATATAGACTGCCTTCGTTGTTTTTTGGTTCAGGTGGGAAACGAACCCGGGCTCCTCAGAATAACTCCACTCGACCACTATGCCATGTATACTTCATAAATCTAATGCATCATATATAGATATTTAGCATTAATCGGTTTTGGATTCCCGAAAAGTCTCATTATAATTTGGTTTAAATGAGAATTCCAACCGGCTTCCTAACAATAACACATTCTCCACTTGACCACTCTGCCCCTTTAACTTGCATGAAGGATATGCTTTATCTCTCGGCCACCGCTGCGTTTTATATACCCAACCAAAAGCTTCCCCAACTCACACACGAAGCATTAAAAATGGGTCAACCCGAAAACCGGATCATAATGTGAGTGGAAAACGTGTCTCTCCCTCCCTTCATAACTTTGACTGGAGAAATGATATGATAATAATCTCGTTTTAATTTGTTGTTTTAGTCTGTCGCGACTATTGCTAACGCGATGAGAAGGCACATGAATGCACCAAGAGCTAAATAATTTGGAGTCATTGACAGGGTGACTTAGGCGCTGTAAAAGTGTAAAGTGCTATAATTGATTTGCTATGTCTTTGTTACTATAAAAATATATTATCATTGAAGAGAATATACAAAAGTTAGTTTGCTACCTTTAATCACCAGATTATTTGGTGTGGTCAAGAAAAGATAATTATGGACCTTGTCACCTTGTTCCTTCACAGGAGTTCGACAAGAAAGTGGAGATTATAAGTGTAGAACGAATTTAGTTTCATGTTCTCTCGCCTCAAATCTTTTAAGTGACATGTTCAACTCTTCATCACTACATGGCATCAGAACAGGGAAACATTCATTGGTCAGCTCGTCATAAGTAGCTATAGCTAACTTGATCATTTACTCACCACTTACCTGCGAATTTTAGTTGCTTTTTCATTTTAAACACTTCTTTTGCAAGTCTTCAGATTACGTGCGTGCAGAAAGAGCCTCTTAGATCAGCCACGGTCAGACGGATGTACTCCTCGAAAAATCGACTAGTCTGACCACTACTTTATCTAAGTTGATATGGGCGGTCGACAAAAAAAAAACACTTCAAGTGCAGGATGACATTGGTTTGCTTCATCTCCTCTTTTGCAGGCTTCATCAATATAGAACTAATTATTTCGGACCACTTGGTAAATGTCAATCATTCAGTTGGGAGATCTGAACATACTATTTGATAAACTTGTAATGTGTTTCAAAAGCCAAAGTATATACAATCTTGAAATCTCTACCTTGTTATCTTCTTCGAAACCAGTATGAACACTGTTATGAATCAAAGTAGAAAATGGATAATGATGTATCACGAATCTTCCTACTCTGTCTTCTACGACTTGATCTCACACCTCTCACGAAAAACACTCATATGAATTGAGAACAAGAAAGATATAACAAAGACACGAGAGATTTTTTCATCCAGTTCGGGATTCGATGTGAATCCATTACGTCTGGGGCTTGACGGTACAAGCAACACTCCACTAGAATCGAATAGAGAATGTTTACAAGATCATCACAAGTACACTATGAATCAAGATACAATCCAAGTGGCTCGATGATCTTCTCCTTCTTCTTTCACTGGAGAATCTTTCTGTTACGGATGATGAACTCTCCTTTCTCATATCATAAGTAGACGAGACTTGGATACACTGAACCGACTGAACCAATAACACTCCCGGTTATCTCCAACTGATCCTCGTACAAACTTTATCACTAAACCAATCCGGTTTAGATTAAAAGATGCATTGTTGAATATCACAATATAACAAATAAAATTGTGTAAGATATATACTTCATTTGCTATAATTTATAACTAAATTCATCCACAGCTTCTATACAGTAAAAGCAAAAAAAAAACTCCAATGCCAGGAAGCAAACCCAGGTCTCCTGGGTGAAAGCCAGATATCCTAACCGTTGGACGAAATCGGATTTATTGTACGTTTATATTTAAATCAACTTTTTGGTTTTTAAAATAATTAATACGTTGCTTAATGCTTACGATCTGTCAGAAAGTATGTTATAATTATACAAACCAGTATAGATAGGTAAGTTGTATGAAAGATATATTGTGTTCTTAAAATACTAATGATGAACTCGTAATTAAAAATTTTCCTTGTGGAACTCAAACTTGGTCGAAGTTTTCCTAGAGAAATCTTGAGCCAGTCCCTTCAACTCTCCTATGATGCATGATTTACCACAGTAGAAAACCCCTACACACAATACAAAGGCAAAATCCATTATTGCTACAAAAAAAATTCCACTAGAAATCTCAGATATAATTAATATAGTTAGGAAACTGTTGTATAATGATCACATTACCAACTCGTTGATTGACGTGGTTCACCGCAACATGCTTGAAAACACTGCGCCAATCAGGTCTGGCGAAATGAGTTCGGACCCGAGTACCCGACACAATGTCAATGCCGCTCTTGGCGTGGTGCAATGACTGCAGCATCGTGATTAGTGCTGATCTCGCGTCTCCTTCCTCATAGACGCTTGTGCAGTAATTATATAACTCAATGATCCCCTCACTATCATACTCAGCTACCTTTTATTTCATTTTTTTCTTGGTTACTTCCTTGAATGATATATAATATTACTCAAAAATTCAATTGACTATATATTACCTCGTTCATGACCTCACTGAACCATTCTAAAGATCCTTGCTCTCTTGTTACCCAATAGAAATAAGCTCGTTTTGTGTTGCTTCTATGGATATTATGGCTCGTGCCTTCTTCAACAGATTTTTGTTTCTTGATGTTGTTAAGAACGTCCCTTAGTATACTTATTAATGGGGTTGCTCCGATCCCTAGACCTACCAGAAGCAATACATCGTAGTTTCGGTAATCTTGTGCTGGCGCACCATATGGACCATCAATCAAAAGCTTTGGAAACCTTCAATGTAAATTGGTTAGCAAAAAAAAGAAGATTAATATTTGTTTAACTGACACACACATTTGACATGGAAACATTTAAACTTACATTTGCGTATACACTAATTTCTTTGCGCTACGTAAGTATTGGCATAACAAAAGCAGACAGTATCAAGCCTAGTTAAGTTCATTGTGCTAACAACATATAGTAAACTGGTCTTCAGAAGAAAACAAATTAATACCTGGTTATGTTAGCTTGACCTCTGTCGACTATGAATAGTTCACTTTGACTTGTTGAGGGAGGTTGACAAACCTATGTTTTAATTACTAAAATAATTTACCAAACTATACTGTATATGCATTCTAATTCAAAAAAAAAATCGAAATCCTTACCTTCGAAAATAAGCATTTGAGTTGCGATGTCCAGTCGCCGAGGGTACGGATATGAATGCTGAGGAAATCGTCTCCAGAAGCCGAAGTAATTGAAAAAGGATGCCTATATATTCAATATTGAAAATTCCCGTTTAATTAGCAAAATACGAATTTTAATTAATTTCATGATTATGTCATGTGAATTAATTTTGGCAAAATATACCATTGTAATGGTGACACGTCAGGACAGTTAACGTATATGTACTGCCCACTTGTGTACTTGAACCCCTTAGGCTTTGACATGTAAAGTGAAAGTACATTTCCTGGATATACTGCAACCTGAAATTTTATTTCAAAGAAAAAAATACATGTTAGGTTTTGTAGGATAGATTATCTAGTCAGAACATATTAGCTATAATCATGATTTGGATACTTGTTTCAATTTTTTTTAAAGAGGATACTTGTTTCATTATAAAAATTTGTAACACAAAATTCACTACATATGTAGAACTTACAGTTTAATTGCGATAATGAGATATACCTTCAAAATGGTTACCGCCTTGGAACCTGATCTAAATAAACGAACCAATCTTTCACATGCATACAATATCGTTGGAACAGCCAGATACATCCACGTCTGTCCAAAAAGAAAACAGACCCAAATAAAAATTAGAAGTTCATTTTAAATTAGAGTTATGTAAGAGATTCTTGGTAAAATAGACGTAAGAATTATTTTTTACGTACCGTTTTTTCATACCATTCCTTGGAGAGATAAATAAAATAGCCATGCACGATGAGAAGCACATAAACGATGACAAATAAATGGTGTGAGTACCAAAATGCGTTGAAACCGGTTAACCGTTTCAACGTTTTTGGTAGGTTCGCCCGGTTGCGTCTGAACCACGATTGGGCCAAGGCGTATGCTATTACCATTAGAACCACCATAGTTACTCCGGTCCATCCGTCTGTTCCTTTTACGAACCACCAGTAATTTTCCGGCCTCTCGTCCCCGAAAAACTTTTTCACTGCCTCATACTCTACATATTTTGCATGCAGCAAACGTGGAAAGTCACATGCCAGGTGAGAAATGGCATGTAAACCTATCCCAATGGCGATCCCAAACGCAATAACCTAACAAGCATCCAATTTGTTATTAAAAACGCTACAAGTACCAACTAAAAGTTTATTCAACAGCTAAAACTCTTGAATTATCTAGAAAAAAACTAGTAGGATCAATTTCTGTTGGGAGAGGGTACAAACGTCGAACCTATATACATTCAAATGGATAAATATAATGTTATAAGTTGATTATTTTCTTCTATTGCATTTAGGCTAATAGATATTGTGATCAAATGATTGCTAAAAATGAAGATGACATAAGTTTTATAATGAATAAAACAATCTTTAAAGAATAATTGCACACGTGATTACCTTGTGGAAATTGATATTGTCATCAAATGGAACAACGGACCCAAGCTTAGAGTTGGTTCGCAGCCAAGTGATAGTGTTCCTACAAACGGGCAAGAGAATGAGAGCCATGTTGAATTTCAAGGTCTCTGCACTGCCTTTGGCCACAGAAACACAGGAACCCAAAACCTCGAACACGGCTCTGCGTTTATACTGGAGAAATTTCCAAGTGAAGAGAGCGATGCAAATGGATATCCACATTGTTAGCACCCATATCCTTTTCCAATTTTCCAAGAAAAAGTATGATATATCTCTGGCAAATCTCTTCAACGGGTTCCTCTCTTTTGTTGGTATTAGCTTCTGGCTCAACATCTTGCTGAGGGCACGCTTGTTCTCGGATGATGGACTGATGTTCGATTGGCTAGGAACTTGGAGAAGCAAAGTTTCCAAGTTGTATAGCTGCAAACAACCATAGATTATGTCAGTTTTCTTACTTTTCTAGTATTGCTAAAGATTTATAAATATTTTTGGACAGTTGTGGTGCTTTATTGTTTGACTGTACATAAACTCAAATTTTTTTGGCGTTAGCGTGGTACTTATCTATCCTAGGCTTAAAGTAATGTTTTACTTCATGTTTCAATAAAAACACATTCTCACATATCATTCTCTTGTTGACGATGTATTTATAGATTGAAAAAGACAAAAAGTAATCATATCCCCTATATATTAAAGGAGAAACATTACAACATTTTTTGTAGCCACGTGTCATCACCACAATCATTCTTAGAATCCTTAGAAAATATGTTGGTTCATCTAAATATATAATAAGCTTTTTATTAAATTAATCATAAATGACTTATTAATGTTTTTCATTGTTTCCTTAAATAAAAATAACGGAATTGCCAAATATGGTTAAAGAATATATGACAATTAATAATTTTCAATAATAAAGATTTGATAAAAATTAGTGTATTTTTAAGTTTTAACTTATTAAAGTAAATTAAACAAGTATATTACTATATAACAAAAATTAGATATTTTCGTATAACTTTGAAATTTTTAAAACGGTTATAAATGACTAAAGTTGTTACAAAATCTCACATTGCAATTTTGTGATCCATGGTTAAATTTTTTTATATAACAAAATAGAAATGATTACAAAATTATAAGTAAGAAGTATCATTTAATATATGTATCCCCTATATATTAATTGAAAAGCATTACAACATGTTTTGTAGCCACGTGTCATCATGGGAATGATTCTCAAATATACAAGAAAAAAATGTTGGTCCATATAAACATATAATATATTTTTATTAAACTAAACATAGAACTATTATTAATGATATTCATTATTTCCTTAAATAAAAGTTCTGAAATTACCTAATATGATTATAATATATATATATATGACAAGAAATTATTCGAATATGAAGATTTGATAAAAAAAATTTTAGTTTCTACTATTTTTGTTAAACTTATATTGTGAAAATAAATTAAACAATAACATTAACTATAT